AGTCGGGAGCAGTTGCCGGTAGCGCGGAAGCCGTGCTCGCCCGAAAAAGGCGCGAAGCAACAGAAACCCCGCCTCCTGCGCTCGCCAGCTGGACTCTGCTCTAGGAAGGACGCACTGGCAAACCACTTCCAAAACACCTTGTCTAGAAAACTGCAAAGGACTCATCCAAAAGCAGTCACTGCAGAGTCGGTAACGACTGAGTGCAGATTAAAAAAAAAAAAAGATAATTAAGTTACCATATTTTGATTTAAGCATCTTGCCTTTTTGGTAAGTTTAATAGGTGGGGCAAATAATATAGGATTACGGACCTGTCTGTAATCAGTAAGAAAATTAAATTGGGTTTTCTGTTGGTAGGAAAGATCTGGCAGCATCATAAATTGTAAAAGGCTTTCTAAACTTATATATTTCATCCACCAAATTACCTTCAATTCTAGATTTGCCATTTTACTTCATCCTCTACTTTACACAAAACATTCATCCACAAAAAGGCTGCTTGCAGTAAGGGATAAAAAAGGTTGAAAGAAAAGTTAATACATTAGAGTAAGAGACAAGGCCTTTGTTCACACAATACCCTAAGCCATGGTATTGTTTGTCTTGTTTTGGTTAAGTATGATATGAGAATCTAGCTATTGTAGTTATTGAATAAGATCTGGTTAAGCAAACTGTTTTAGTGAGTTGACTGAATCTAGTCAGTGCGCTGTTGGCTTGTCAGAATATGGCTTTGGGCGAGTTCTTTGAATCTCTGTCTGCTATGTTTTATTTGTCTCGATCTCATATATCATGATTCCAGCAGAAACAACTGCTAAATCCATTTACAAAGCTTGCAAATGGTGTATGATAGCATTCCCCTGCTTGTCTTGAGCATCTGGTATTCAGAATTAACTATATTTGAACATGGAGATTCCCTTTAGCTTCTGTAGCTAATCAAAAGGTCTCTGGAGATGTGGCTGGCATGGAGCAGATTATAAGAATTTACCTTGGATGGAACCAAGGGAAAGTGTGCTGTGCATGACAGAGAATGCTGAGAAGTGGACAAGTCTCACTTTCTGGAGTAACTAGTTCCAAGAAGATTATATGCTTCTGCAGAGCATGCTAGAAATCACAGATATTTTTTTCTTATAAGAAAATGGATTTCCAAGTGAAACTGAGGCATGAGGACCTCATGTTATCCTGTAAATGGACATGATTTATTTTCATATTAAAATCTTATTGTTGTAAGGGCACTTTTATCATC